AATCAGAGGCTCTCTGTGTGTGTGTGTGTGTGTGTGTGTGTGTGTGTGTGTGTGTGTGTGTGTGTGTGTGTGTGTGTGTGTCACATCAGACAAACAGGATCAGGTTCTGTCTCATTCCTGCTCCTCAGACTCTGCAGGGTTCAGTCTGTTCTAGTCCTCAGAAATACTTCACCTGAACCCTGACCTGGGTCAGACAGCACAGGTCCGAGTCTAACAGGACAGGTCAGACTCTAACAGGTCAGGTCCGAGTCTAACAGGTCATGTCCGAGTCTAACAGGACAGGTCAGACTCTAACAGGACAGGTCAGACTCAGACAGGACAAGTCAGACTCTAACAAGACAGGACCGAGTCTAACAGGTCAGGTCCGAGTCTAACAGGACAAGTCAGACTCTAACAGGACAAGTCAGACTCTAACAAGACAGGACCGAGTCTAACAGGTCAGGTCCGAGTCTAACAGGACAAGTCAGACTAACAGGACAGGTCAGACTCTAACAAGACAGGTCCGAGTCTAACAGGACAGGTCCGAGTCTAACAGGACAGGTCCGAGTCTAACAGGACAGGTCCGAGTCTAACAGGACAAGTCAGACTCTAACAGGACAGGTCAGACTCTAACAAGACAGGTCCGAGTCTAACAGGACAGGTCCAAGTCTAACAGGACAGGTCCGAGTCTAACAGGACAGGTCCGAGTCTAACAGGTCAGTTCCGAGTCTAACAGTACAGGTCAGACCCTAACAGGACAGGTCAGACTCTGACAGGTCAGGTCCGAGTCTAACAGGACAAGTCAGACTCTAACAAGACAGGTCCGAGTCTCACAGGACAGGTCCGAGTCTAACAGGACAGGTCCGAGTCTAACAAGACAGGTCCGAGTCTAACATGTCAGGTCCGAGTCTAACAGGTCAGGTCCGAGTCTAACAGGTCAGGTCCGAGTCTAACAGGACAGGTCAGACTCTAACAGGACAGGTCCGAGTCTAACAGGTCAGGTCAGACTCTAACAGGTCAGGTCCGAGTCTAACAGGACAGGTCAGACTCTAACAGGACAGGTCAGACCCTAACAGGACAGGTCAGACCCTAACAGGTCAGGTCTGAGTCTAACAGGACAGGTCAGACTCTAACAGGTCAGGTCAGACTCTAACAGGACAGGTCAGACTCTGACAGGTCAGGTCAGACTCTGACAGGTCAGGTCAGACTCTAACAGGACAGGTCAGACTCTAACAGCACAAGTCAGACTCTAACAGGTCAGGTCAGACTCTAACAGGTCAGGTCAGACTCTAACAGGTCAGGTCAGACTCTAACAGGACAGGTCAGACTCTAAGTGGACAGGTCCAAGTCTAACAGGACAGGTCAGACTCTAACAGGACAGGTCAGACTCTAAGTGGACAGGTCCAAGTCTAACAGGACAGGTCAGACTCTAACAGGACAGGTCAGACTCTAAGTGGACAGGTCCAAGTCTAACAGGACAGGTCAGACTCTAACAGGACAGGTCAGACTCTAAGTGGACAGGTCCAAGTCTAACAGGTCAGGTCAGACTCTAACAGGTTAGGTCAGACTCTAACAGGTCAGGTCAGACTCAGACAGGTCAGTACGTCAGGGTCCACTTTAACCTGCCCTGCAGACAGGTGTTATTTAGGTTTTAAACATCTCGTCTCTATGGCAACAAGAGGACAGCATCCTGTCCTCATAGGTCAGGTAACTTAATGAAGTCTGCTCAGTCCAGGGGTCAGAGGTCAGCCTCAGGACTGAGTCATGTCCTCCGTCTCTCCATGCTGGACAGCATCACATCCCCGCCACGTGCTCACGCTGCTGCTCCCTCTACACCTCAGCTTCATGCTTCAGATTTACAATTACCAACCGGAAATTCAACAATGACGTAACGAATCCCACCATCTTCAACATTAAACATCAGATTTACGTGATAAAACTTTGGCTTTATGAGACTGGGACAAAGTAGGGAAAAGCTGAAACTGCAGCTAAATCAGAGCATAAAGTGGATGAAATGTGGGCCGATAAAAAGAAGACCCCCCTAAGAGTCAAACTTGTTTTTAAAGTTTTTCTTCTGACCTTTACTTTACTAACAGAAAGTCTGTGAATCTAAAACTTCAGAATAATTTAAGGGAGTCCGGTGCTCGGCTTCACTTCCTGGCATCAGCAGCGCGTGGTCGTTAAAAACAAAAGCTCGGCTGCCAGCCTTTGTTTCCCGCCTGCTGACCCGCTTCCCTGCTCCCTAACGGAGCTCACAGCCCGCTGGACTCGGACTGACGGAACTTTTTCTGACCGCAGGCACCGAGCCGGGTCCGAAGCTCCGGTTCTTTGGGGATGTTCTTCTCATCCCGCTGCCGCTGAGGAGGCGCTAGCCTCCGCCGGCTAACCCAGGTGCAGGGAGGCGGAGCGGGGTACTTACAGATGTGAGGAGCGGTCTCATCTGCTCGCTGCTGTCCTCCATCTTCAGACAAGCCGGATCAGCTCCTCTGGCTCTCCTCCGCCCGCCTCCGGATCCTCCAAGTCCAGCCAACAAACACCGGCTCCTCAGCCGGCTTTACTCCACGACTTTACAACCGCCTGGAATATATCAACTCCGAACATTAACCCCGCCCCTTTGTGACGGGCAGCTCCATCAACCAATGGCCTCTCAGAGATGGTTTTATCAGAACCAACGGTGCAGCGGGAAAGTAAAATGGGCGGAGTTATGCCGGTAACAAAGCACGAGAGCTTCGCGTCAGTCATTCCACTTTAAAGGTTTTAATTACCGGATGTACAAGAATATTAACAATTTATCTAATTATCAATAAATTCTTTTGTCAAACGCAACATTTCATCAGGAATACTGTAGTTTTTGTTCAAGGTTTCAGCAGTAGGTTATCAATAAACATTCATCATCATAAGAGAAAAAACTAATTTAACACTTTTGTATTCACAATAAAATAAATTAAAACGTTTTTTTCAGACAAATAAATAAAAATGAACAACTTTTATTGCCAGTTCATAAAAATCTTATTTATCACAAAAACAACCAGAATTTACTGAGTTTGTTTACTTATTAAAAGAAGAAAAACAGAAAAAAATCTAATTTTAATAAATAAATATTCAAGCTGCAGACAAGATGTTTACAGAACATAAATAAACTAATAAACAGTTTCTCTGCTGCGATCCTGACCCGTCTGGTCCAGGTCGAGAGAACAAATCAAAGCAAGCTAAAGAAATAAAAACATCACACATCTTTGTGTACTTTAGGGAAATAAAAGTCAGAGAATATCTGTTAGATTTTATTTCTGTGTGTTTGTCTCTCAGATATTTTCCTGATTCTAATACAAACTGAGCAGAAGCACAGCTCAGAGCTCTGTTTTCCCAGGTGGTAAGAAGTCCCTGAAGGCATCAGTGTGCTGGAGGACAGGACAGTAAACATGACACTGGACCGTTCACACCGTTCCTGCAGGTTATCAGGCTCTGCAGGTCTCTGTAATCCTGACAGATTAGCTCATTAAACAGAAGTCATTGTTGTTCCTGGGAGAACTCTGGCAGACCTCAGTCCTTCTGTCCTGCAGGAAAACAGCACATGAGCAGATTTTACAACAACTTACACAACAGGAGCAAAATCTCTGCTCAGCTGCTTTTAATTGGCTTTTTCACCCATTTATCTGCTTCTTTCTTTAACAGATTGTTTTACAATTAACAACAAAACAAATTAAACCGTTTCTGCATTAAATCAGTTTAGTCTTTTCTCTTTTTTCAGCCTTTAATTAGGATTATATAAACTCTGTTTGTTGTGTTTTTCACACCTGAAAAACCTTTTGTTTCATGTTTTCTGTTGTTTTTATTTAGAATCAAATTAAAATATTCATCTGCCTGCTTCTCACTGAAGCCCGGCCTGAGAGTCACGTTTATTCCACTGATGATGTGACAGGTAACAGGTGTGATGGATAACAGGTGTAATGGATACCAGGTGTGATTAATGACAGGTGTGATTAATAACAGGTGTGATTAATAACAGGTGTGATGAATAACAGGTGTGATTAATACCAGGTGTGATTAATAACAGGTGTGATGAATAACAGGTGTGATTAATACCAGGTGTGATTAATACCAGGTGTGATTGATAACAGGTGTGATTGATAACAGATGTGATTGATAACAGGTGTGATTAGTAACAGGTGTGATTGATAACAGGTGTGATTGATAACAGGTGTGATTAATACCAGGTGTGATGGATACCAGGTGTGATTAGAAACAGGTGTGATGAATGACAGATGTAATTAGTAACAGGTGTGAATCTGACAGGTGTGTTTGATAATAGGTGTGAATATTAACAGGTGTCATTAATAATAGGTGTGATTAATGACAGGTGTGATGAATGTCAGGTGTGATTAGTAACAGGTGTGACTGATAACAGGTGTGATTAGTAACAGGTGTGAATCTGACAGGTGTGTTTGATAATAGGTGTGAATAATAACAGGTGTGATTAATAATAGGTGTGATGAATGTCAGGTGTGATTAGTAACAGGTGTGACTGATAACAGGTGTGTTTAGTAACAGGTGTGATTAATACCAGGTGTGATTAATACCAGGTGTGATTAGTAACAGGTGTGATTAATACCAGGTGTGATTAATACCAAGTGTGATTGATAACAGGTGTGATTAATGCCAGGTGTGAATAATACCAGGTGTGATTGATGCCAGGTGTGATTAATACGAGCTGTGATTGATAACAGGTGTGATGAATGACATGTCTGATTAATAACAGGTGTGATGAATGACAGGTGTGATTAATACCAGGTGTGATTAATACAGGTGTGATGAATGACAGATGTAATTAGTAACAGGTGTGACTAGTAACAGGAGTGAATCTGACACATGTGATTAATGACAGGTGTGATTAGTAACAGGTGTGATTAGTAACAGGTGTGATTAATAACAGGTGTGATTAATGACAGGTGTGATTAATGACAGGTGTGATTAATAACAGGTGTGATTAATGACAGGTGTGATTAATGACAGTTGTGATGAATGTCAGGTGTGATTAATAACAGGTGTGATTAATGACAGGTGTGTTTAATAACAGGTGTGTTTAATGACAGGTGTGCTTAATGACAGTTGTGATTAATGGCAGGTGTGATTAATGACAGGTGTGATGAATGTCAGGTGTGAGTCTGACACGTGTGATTAATGTCAGGTGTGATTAGTAACAGGTATGATTAATGACAGGTGTGATTAGTAACAGGTGTGATTACTAACAGGTGTGATTAGTAACAGGTGTGATTAATAACAGGTGTGATTAGTAACAGGTGTGATTAATAACAGGTGTGATTAATGACAGGTTTGATGAATGTCAGGTGTGATTAGTAACAGGTGTGATTAATTACAGGTGTGATTAATGTCAGGTGTGATTAATGACAGGTGTGATGAATGTCAGGTGTGATTAATAACAGGTGTGATTAATGACAGGTGTGATTAATAACAGGTGTGTTTAATGACAGGTGTGCTTAATGACAGTTGTGATTAGTAACAGGTGTGCTTAATGACTGTTGTGATTAATGACAGGTGTGATTAATGACAGGTGTGATGAATGTCAGGTGTGAGTCTGACACGTGTGATTAATGTCAGTTGTGATTAATGACAGGTGTGATTAATAACAGGTGTGATTAGTAACACGTGTGATTAATAACAGGTGTGATTAATGACACGTGTGATTAATGACTAGTGTGATTATTAACAGGTGTGATTAATTACAGGTGTGATTAATGACTAGTGTGATTATTAACAGGTGTGATTAATTACAGGTGTGATTAATATCAGGTGTGATTAATAACAGGTGTGATTAATGACAGGTGTGATTAGTAACAGGTGTGAGTCTGACAGGTATGATTAATGACAGGTGTGATTAGTAACAGGTGTGAGTCTGACAGGT